TAGGGGTTTTGGGTTTGGGGTTTACGAACTCATCGTCGCCACCTTGGGAAGAGTGCTTTTAAAGACCCTCTTCTCAGGGGGGGGGGGTCTTAGTTTCAAGAACTGAAAGCCCCCAAGCCCCTGAACCCCATCATCGTCACCAGAAGCTGACGGCTGATGTCCACGATGATCATGAGGAAGATGATGCTCAGGAGACCATCCTTAGGCTGCCGACGATGGTGCCGACGCCGACTACCCATATAACTTTCAACCCTATGAGTAGTTCTCTAAACTAGGGTCCCTGTTTAGGCCCCCAATATAGTACGGCACCCTTTTTAAAAGGACCCTTGAAAAAAGGGACCCTTGGATGCTCGTCTGCTACTCGTTCCAGTGGGCTCTGGTCTTATCTGCTCGGGCTTGGAAGTGTATCATGTACCGTTGCCATTGAGCCAATCTATCTAGAATGTACCTGGGCTGGTGAGACTGCAGAGTCCCCAAGGAGTCACCGCTCTACCAGCCACCTGGACAGCAGCCCCTTTGGTGGGACGTGTTGGGTGGGTGCAAGCTGAAAGATGAATCTGACGTGTCACAAGAGCCCACCCGGTATGAGTTTACATAGCGTTCAGAGCTGTGTGTATCATTGAAAAGAGCGGTGTCGCTCAGTGGTTTCTCTTCTTGCTTCTCGGCTTCTCGTTTAAGCGGAGCGCGACTTGGCTTGGCTACGGCCTTGCTGAGGATAGGCCCGGGGTAAATCAATGCATTCTTCTCCCAGACGTTTCGAAGCCTAAGCCTACGGCCTGCACGTCCCTCTGCACGAAGACTAGTAGCAACCGGACGGCAGACCGGTGTTGACTTGCGGCCGTGAGAAGATCTGCCAAAGTCCCAAAAGAAAACCGGAGAGCCAACGACCCTACAGCCCAGAGCGCTTCGAAGCCCCGCCCCCCTCTCCAGCCCCAAAGCCCCGCATCATCCGCATCTTCAAGGCACCTCTTGAAAGAGGTGGTGTTGGAGCCTTGCCACATGCTCATCGCCCTCCGCCTCGAGGAGGCGGGCGTACTGAAACTCCGACTTTCCCCTAAAGGAGCCCTAAAGAAGGAAATAGAAGGAAGAGCCTCAAAGAAGCCCCTTAAAGTCGGGACCACTATCGGTTGCAGGCCCGGAAAGGATGTTTGTCTCAGACCTAAAGACTGTTTACAGACAAGTTGGTCAGAGGGAAGTTCCCCCCAAAAGGCGCAATGCATAGATATGCCACACGGCGGCGTTAGAAATAGAGCCACACCTTGCCGGGAATCCCAACTTCGATAAACCCTTGCGCGTCGCCAGATTGGCTGCTGAGATTCAAAAGCCTAGGGCCAAAGAAGGCATGAGAAGCAATTACTTGCAACGGTATCAGCTTAAGCACGACTTCACCCACACAACCACACAACTCCTACTTTACTGCTACTACTGCTACTGCTGATGCTGTTACTACGACTACTGCTACTGCTACTACTACTACTACGACTACTACTACTACTGCTACTACTAGCACTAGTACTAGTACTCATACTATAAGTACTACTACTACTACTACTACTACCACTACTACTACTACTACTACTACTACTACTACTCCTATTCCTACTCCTACTCCTACTCCTACTCCTACTCCTACTCCTACTCCTACTCCTACTCATACTCCTACTCC